TGTTTGACTGACAACCCCAAGGTCAACTATTCGAGCCCACCAGACACTGTGCAAGAGAAAGATGAGACTTTCTGCTCTCATAAAGATTGGAACCACAGAGGCACACAGAAGTTCCAGTCTGCCATAAAGCGTCACTGTGAGTCGCAATTGACTAACAGTGATCAGTTGGTACAGTCAATAGAGATTCAAACACTCTGAAACCCAAAGTGATTCTATAAAAGTTCAAATTCTTTTATTAAAAGTAAAGTGTTCCAGTTTCTTAAAAGTAAAGTGTTCCAGTTTCGTTATAAGATGCAACTTCACCACCTGTGCACAGGAACTCTTAAAAGGAAACTTGGAGCTTATTCTTATCGAGAAGCTTGGAGTCAACCTCACCACCGAAATATTTAGCATGAAATAGCCATTGACTTCTATATAGCACAATGTGTTCGGAAACGTTTACTGGCTAATTTGAAGATCTGTTTAAATCTTCAAAGTAGTCACATAAGTTGGTATGAAGTATTGCATTTTTGGCGCTCTAAATTGCTCTCGCACCTTCCATATCTGTGCATTTTGTATTTTCATTTTTGATTTTCCACTCGTCTCCAGCTGTGTTTTGGCTTTGGCATTTCTAACTTGTAGTCTCTGTATATATTGTACAGCGCCCCATACCAAAGGTGCTACATAATCTATTCTAACTCCTAGTGACTCTCCGGGACAGAGAAGTGCCCCTGGGGTTTTTCACATCTCTACATCTTTTAAAGCCCGAATGGCAGCTCAACACTTCACCAGCTAGCTACCTTTGGTCCACTCACAGCTTCTCTTGGAAGTCCCTAGTACCTACTTCTTTTTTCAGAGGTTTTTTTTAATTTTTGTTTTTATCCTTGTGGGTCTGAGTTCTTCTCCTATTTAAGACTAGTATGCAAAATTAATAGATTAGTATAACTTGATAAATGAAAACATAGTATAACACTATATTAAAGAACCTAGAAGTGATGTGGTCTACTCAGTGCAATGCCTCCTTGTTTTTCTTGGGCGGTGTAATCCATATACGGTTTCATTTGGGGTGTGAAGTATCCTTGAATTTTTGCATTCTCTCTTTTTTTCCTTTGTTGTAGATTCTACTTGCAACTAGTGACAGGTGCGTGTCCCCCAGCCTACTGCTTCTCCTGCTGGGTTCTACTGCCTATGCTGGGGTCCTTTTGGCAGAGTTGTTGTGCCTACAGGTGCCAATATTAGAAATATACAGATGGCACACTCTCTGTGAAGGAGCCAGATTGACTTCCTAGCTCGGATGGAATTATGAAGGACAAGTAGGGAAAAGGACCCATTTCTCACTAGGTCATTCAAAACCTCTTTGTAATGTTTGTACTGAATGTACAGAACACAATGGCAGTGCCCAAGAGAAGAAGCCACAGCCCTGAGGAGGAGACACAGTCACATAAGATAATCAATCGGTGTACTAGTCTGGGTACTTTAGAGAAACAAATCCATAGAAACTCATGTATAAGAGAGAGTTTTATGTAAAGGTTAAGTGTGCATCAAGAAAACCTCCCAGCCCAGTGCTGCCCAAGCCCACAAGTCCAACATTAACCCATTAACCCATATGTCCATCACCAATCCACAAAGTCCTCCTCCATCTCACAAAACAGACACAAAGATGCCAACTGCAGGAGGAAAGCCAAGTTAGTGAATGTGTAAGCATCTCAGTGCTGGCAGGGGTCCCCACACAGCTGCTCCAGCACCTAGGGCTGCATCGGGATAGGTCCATGTGGCTTCTCCTTTGGGAAGTCTTGTAGGAAGTCAATCTTGCAAGCTGAAGCAGGGAACTGCTAAGGCAGCTGCACCCTGGTGTGACCATCACAAAGCAAGAGACCTGAGAACTCTAAAGGTGAGGCTCACTGAGCCATTTATCCCTCCGCCCTTCAATTAATCCCACATGTGTTTATTCACCAGGTTGACACAATAAACTAACTCAGCGGGGTAACACAGGTGTGAGGGAAACTGGCAAACAGGAGAGGGTACCGTGTGGCCAGGCAGAACAGCTGCTACTTAGTTCCTTGAGTAGTCATGTGAGAACGTAGGCCCACGCTTATCCAACATCCCAGTTATCCCAAGAAGCTAGAAATTTGGATTATGCATTCAGATGGTTCAATTTAAGAATTTTCATTGGAAAAACAATGGCATAAATTAAGAAACAGTATATACACATACACGGACCTTTCTTGTTGGAGGAGAGAACAAGCAAGGTGGAGAAGCAAGGACAGATGCTAGACTTCTTTGAGTACATCTTGTTCTACATATTTAATTTTGGTGTCAGGAAAAAAAGATCTTGTAAATCTAGGGGGTGGAATTAGATTTGACAAAGTGGTCATTAAAAATGGAAATAAGATAAAACTGGACCACACTAGGTATCAAGGTTAGCAGCATAGTCAGATAGAGTAACTATTTCAAGTAACTTTGACAGCCAGAAACTTGTCTATGCTTTCTTACAAGGATGTACTCTAAAAAGATAAAATGTAAACGAACATTTTGAATTATTTTACTTATAATAATGTTGCTAGCATGAGGCTTTTGAAATTTTTCTCTGTGTTTGTATGTTCCTGTTAACTGAGAACTGGAGATTTGGGTATGGAAGAAGGTTAAAAAAATCATAAGATCTATGAAATGAAGTACAATCCTAAACTAAAAATCATGAATGGAAACTGAAGTGTCAGGTGAGTTCATGATATATGCTATCTTAATACACACACACACACGCACATGCACACGCACACACACACGTTTACTTATTATCTCTGTCTCTTGGAAATGCCTAGAAATAATAATCCAATAGCAATGAGATACCGAAGCCACATATTTTGGTCACTAAATAGCACAAAAATGAGCCAGAGCTTCTGATTCTGGGCCTGGGGGAGGAGATGTATTTAGTAATCTGAAATGGTCTGTCATACTATATAGCAAGAAGGCCATCAAAGACTGTCCCCAATACCAGTCCCATTAAGTCCCGTCACGTGTGTCAGAGTAGAACGGTGCCCCACTGGGTTTTCAGGGGCTTTTTCGAAGCAGAGCACCAGGCCTTTCCATTGAAGACACTATGGGTAAAGTTGATGCTCCAGCATTTCAATTAGCAGTAAAGCTCAGTAACCATTCACCAACCAGGATATCCTGTCAAAGGTACTCTGAGGACCTGCTTGAAAAACCTTCACTGACCAGAGGTGCTGATAGAATAAAGCAAATGCAAAATCCACAGTGCTATTTGAAAAATAAAACATTTGTCATCTTTGGATGATATTAGTAAACAACTCAATATTTTAAAAATCAATTAACAGAGGATAAAATGAAATATCTGTCAAGTTTATATATTACCTGTGATTTAATATAAACAAATAGTTGATGAGATCAAATTTCTCCTGATAGAAATACTCTAGTTAATAAGAAATGATATAATTATCAAAATCTGAACTTTGGAAGCCCTATTGAATAAATAGCACATTTAATATTTCAAATAGTCCGTGTCAGAGAGACACAAATAGTCTAACTGTGTCGGCATACCTGAGAGTGATTGCATTCGGAGGTCAGTAAGGGACTGAGGGAGGGAGTGAACAAGCATTAGAGTGACTGACTAGGAATACACAACCAATTGTAGTAGGACACATAATTGTAATAAATAAATTATAAGGAAGAAGACAATATTAAATATTTTAACATCAATGGAGTATTTTATAACATTAAGGATTTTTAAATTGTTCTAAGAGGCATTGTTAGGTGTTATCCAGGTGGTTCCAAGGATGTATTACCTGTAGGTTTAAAGGTGTACTAATGGTATAGTGTTAGTTGTTGTTATGTACCATCCACTTACCTTCAACTCTCAGTGAACCTGTGTGTAACAGAATAAAATATTGGCGGGCCTTTTACCATCCTCTTACGTCTTCTATTTGAGCCCTTTGTTGAGGTCACTGTGTCAGTCCATCTGGTTCAAGTCCTCCTTTTTACCCTAGCCCTTCCACTTTACCAAGCTGACATCCTTTCCAGGAGCTAATCCCTCCTGATAACATTTCCAACGTATGTAAGACAGTCTTGCCATCCTATGTTCACGCTATACTTCGTCCCAAAGTGACTTGTTGGTTCTTCAGACTGTCCATGATACTTTCAATATTCTTTACTGGGACTATAATTAACATGCATCATGTCTTCTGTGGTCTTCCATATTTATTGCTCAGCTTCCACATGCATGTGAGGTGATTGAAAACAGCCTGGCTGGATCAGGCGTACCTGAGTCCTCGATGTGACACCTTTGCTCCCAACAGCTTTGCCTGCTCGGGGAAGCTTATGTGTGTGTTTCATTAAAAGTGAGAATGTGTGGTTTTAAGAGCTGTAAGAGCACTCAATAAAATGAGTTTTTTAAAGTGAAGATGTGGATGGGTGTAATAAATAATAAGATTAGCCATGCATTGATCATAAATATATAGGTGTTTTCTATTTATTCATTGTTTTTATGTTTGTCTATATTTGAAATTTTTGAGAAGAGAACACTAGAAAAAGATTAGCAACCAACTTAACTTCTTAAATGTTTTTGAGCTAGTCAAATATGTCCAAAAGCTGGATGTGACCAGCAGACGACCAGTTTGAATTTCTGCATGGAGTTTTAGAAACATAATCTTTCCCTTAAAGAGAGAAAATCTTCCTTGCACACTCTTCCATTTACACCCTGCCTCCATTCTTTCTGCGTCACTTGGCGACAAGAGGCTCACTGACCTGTGCCTGTGCCTGTGCCTGTGAATGACCGGGGCACACAGATTACCTGCAACAGAACATTTTCAGACTATGTGAACAATGCTGACTGCGTGCAATAATGCCTCCAAGTATTTCCTGTCCTTCCTGGACCCTTCTTCATTCAGCACGCTTTTAGAAACAAGTGGGAGTGTGCCATAACTTTGTTTCACTTTGTGACAGCAGGAGGGGTTTCAAATTTTGCCTAATCACATTTTCCCTGTTTTCTTTTGGTTTCTCTATTTCAGGATGGAATGGGAAACTTGAGAATCACAGAAAAAGGTCTAAAGTTAGAAGGAGACTCAGAATTCTTACAACCGCTCTACGCCAAAGAGATCCGGTCCCGGCCAGTAAGTTTCTGCTGCGAGAAGGAATGATTGCTTTGTTGCTCTGATGGCTGCTGAGTGTGGAGTGTCAGAGATCTGGGTATAGTGTGATGTCGGAGACGGGAGTATAGTGTGATGTCGGAGACGGGAGTAAAGTATGTTGGAGATGGGAGTGTGATGATGTTGGAGATGGGAATATAGTATGATGTTGGAGATGGGAATATAGTATGTTGGAGATGGGAGTATAGTGTGATGTTGGAGATGGGAATATAGTATGATGTTGGAGATGGGAGTATAGTATGATGTTGAAGATGGGAATATAGTATGATGTTGGAGATGGGAGTA